CCTATTCCATAATTTTTTGTGTGTAATCCCGCGTAAATGTAAAAAAAAAAAATTCAAAAAAATTCAATAGAAAAAGTAGAGTTGACGATAGGTTGCGAGTTTGTGGAAGTAACTGATAAATACAAGATGTATGACAATGTATGAAGCTCCAAAGAAGTTTGTAAAATATCTGATGAACGTTTGTCAATTATTCAATAGTTTGTATAGGCGTGATCAAATTAAGTGTTAAATACAAGATCTAAGAAGTTTGCAAATCAAGTTTTGCAAATAAGCGTTTTATCAATTATTCAATATTTTGTATAAGAGTGATTGAAATAAGTGTTAAAGGCAAGATCTGTGAAGTTGTTTGCGAAATATATTTAATGAATGTTTTATCAATTATTCAAATATAGGCAGGTTCGATTGAAATAAGTGCTAAAGTCAAGATTTATTTGCAGATCAAGTTTTCCAAAATGAACATTTTTATTATTCAATAATTATTAGAGGTGGTTTGATCAAAGTAAGTATTAAAGTCAAGATCTATGAAGCTGTTTGTAAAATATATTTAATGAACACTTTACCAATTATTAAATAATCATATAGGCGGGTTTGATCAAAGTAAGTGTTAAAGTCGAGATCTATGAAACTTGTAAATTGAGTTTGCAAAATGAACATTTTATCAATTATTCAATAATTATATGGGCAGGTTTGATCAAAGTAAGTGTTAAAGTCAAGATTTACGAAGCTTGCAATCCAACTTTGCAAAATGAATGCATAGACGTGATAAAAGTATTTTTAGTAATAAACGAACAATCAATTCAATTGTCAATTTAATTAAACACACGACGCTTTATTTTTAGTAATAATAATCAATTCAATTGTCGATTAATTAAAAAAAATAACCGAATAATAAATTCAATTGTAAATTCATAATGCTCTTCTTAAAAGTAAACAAAACAGGACATCAAAGTAAGTGTTAAAGTCAAGATTTACGAAGCTTGCAATCCAACTTTGCAAAATGAATGCATAGACGTGATAAAAGTATTTTTAGTAATAAACGAACAATCAATTCAATTGTCAATTTAATTAAACACACGACGCTTTATTTTTAGTAATAATAATCAATTCAATTGTCGATTAATTAAAAAAAATAACCGAATAATAAATTCAATTGTAAATTCATAATGCTCTTCTTAAAAGTAAACAAAACAGGACATATGATAATAATAGTAAAAAATGTTTTTTAGCATTTTTAGTAATAAACAAATAATCAATTCAATTGTCAATTAATTAATTAAACGCATGGTACGATCAAAAAAAAAAAAAGGACAAATGATAATTCGTAAACAGTAAATGTTTTTTAGCATTTTTAGTAATAGACAATTGTCAATTAACAAACTAAACGCATAACGCATTTCTTAAAAGTAAACAAATCAATTGTACAATCCAAAAAAAAAAACAGGACAAATGATAATAATAGTAAAATAAATAGAATGATGCTTTTCTTATAAAAGTAAAATAAACAAATCAATGGTATGGATCTTCATCACACTAACTAAATATTAATATTAAACGAAAAAAGAAAGATGTTTCGCCACCACCAAAAAGAAGTTATTAGTAACATATATGATATGATAAATAAATAACAAAAAACAAACAGTTCTCTTCGGTTGGAAAAAAATTATTATTGCACGATAAACGTTTATCACGTGGAAAGAATAATCATGTAGATTGATTTCAGAAAAAATGAAATCAAAATTAGGTTTGAAAAATAAAGATTTTATAAAAACAAAACATTTGCCGTACGACAAATTTTGCTAAATATGGTTGATCGCGCTAAAAAACCGAAAAAACCAAAGAGACAATCGGCAAAAGGCCTCGGGTTTTGGGACACGACAAATGTTCAATCTTTTTTTTTTTTTTGTGTTAAATAACAGACGATAATAAAATGAGAAATATTAATTTATGGATGTGGGAGGTTGAACAATGACTGACATTTTAATTCCAATTATTTATTATGATCTTAATAAAAAAAATATTTCAACATATAATAAAAACCTTAACTAATATTCAAATAAGTTTAGCATAATTAAAAAACATAATGTTTTTTGAGGGGAGAGAATCTTTTAAAAGTGAATCATTTAATAAAATAAAAAATAAAAAAGAAAATAAAAAACAATAATAAAGAGTGAAAAATTAAAATTAATTAAAAAAAAAAAAAAATACAATATTATTAATATACTTTTAGCAGTTGTTGTTGTTATTTACAATATTATAGTCTAATTAATTTGATATATACAAAAAATATTTACAAAAAATATGTTACAAAATAAAAAATTTAATTGGCCGATCGTCGTTTTTGATCGAGAATCATCGTTTCATTCCGAATTATATATTACATATTCCGTCGTCAGTCATCATTTTTTCTATCATTGTTATAATTAAAAAAAAGAACAGGAGAAATGAAAATAAAATATAGATAAGGATAAGAAGAAGAAAAAGAAAAAAAGGAAAAGAAAAGGAAAAGAAAAAGAAGAAAAGAAGAAAAAGAAAAAGAAGAAAAAGGAAAAGAATAAAAGAAAGCTTATATTGTTATTATTATTATTATGTATTAATTATAATTAAACCGATTTATTAATTATATGATTTTTGAAAGTCAGTGAAATCGGCGAGCCGGTGAATCAGTTGATCAGTGAGGGTTTTTATATATATATATAAAATGCGAGATTTAATATGACATATAAAAAAATCTTATTTGTTAACTTAATGGCTAATTCACATAATTTTGCATATATGAATTAAGTTTGAGCGATTTAAATGAGGGTTAAAAATCTTAATTTTTAAAAAAAAGTTTTTTTTTTTTTTTTGATTTTTTTTGATTTTTAAAAAATTTATTCGTTTATTTGTTGAGAGAAGAAGAAAAGTTTGGGATCTTTTATATATAAAAACGGATTATAATAATAGCTATAATTGTAATAACAAAGTTAATTTATTTATAACTATATTGTATTGTTTAAAATAAATGTCAAAAACTTTAATTAATTATTAATTATACTATTATTTAATTTTGTATGTGGTACCCAATTTAACCTTTATAATAAATACACAATAATAACACACACACATTCATTCATTCATTCATACACACACATTGATACAACGTATACATACACACACACACATACACACACGCATTCATTCTTTAATAATGTTTGCATTATTTAAAAAGTTTAACTTTTAAACTAGATACATGTCTTAACTAAACCATTGATTACTATATTGAGGAGACAAAAAATACAAGTGTATTTGATTTCCATTCAAAATATTCTACCAGTTGTCTATAATTTCATACGAAACTGGGTTTGAATTCGACTTTGAATGCTAAGATTATAAGTAATTAATTCTTCTCATACAACAACACTTTTCCTGTTATCGATTTCCATCTTTTTATTTAAATGATAGGATAATAATAGAAAATTACAATATAAATAGAATTTATTGTTCTCTCTTAATTTGTGAACAATAATAAATATTTTTTATTTTATTTTTTTATCTCGAGCCAATCAAAAACAACAATAATTTTAGTAAATTTTTCTTCTCCGGTCTGGGTCAAAATTGAAGATCGAATATGTGATTAGTCAAATGTTGATTACCTCATCTGCAACCTTTGTTTATTTATATTTTCTACAAAAACATCATTAAATAGAAATAATGGTGGTTAGGTAATGAATGATGTGGATTGATTCATTGAGAATTAAATAATAAGAACTGGGAATTAATTGAATAATAATAATATAACAAAAAAAAAAAAATAATAATAATAAAGAATTTTTTATGATGTTACAAAGTTTCTTAATAAAGAAACAATTAAACTTTTTCACTTTTATTATTTACAAAATGTACAACAAACACTTGTGCTTTATTATTCAATATAATCATTATTGAATAGCAGAATAAAGCATGGTGAATAATAAGCATATTATTGAATAATAATTCTTTTTGTCTTTAATAATTAATGCTAATGTGAATTCCACACTCTTTTCATTAATGCAATAATTAATGGTTGTACACTGCATACATACATATACATACCAATACATCCATCTATATTATATACATATCCATGAAAATAATACAATTTTTCCTTTTTACTTTTTCAAATTTGCCACCAAAAGATTTTACATGTGTATTTGTATCACAAAATGTAAAATTTTATTTTTTGACGATATTTTCTTTATTTGAATTGAGATTTTCATTTTTTTTTTTTTTTTTAATATTAAATTAATTAATTTATTTTAAATATGGGCGAGAAAAGTGATATTGCCTCCCCTATTACCACCACCACACTCACTCCCACACTTGCCGCCACCACCACCACCATCACCACCACCACCACCGCTATAGAAAAAGATGGCTGGGAAGATTTTTTGGCTGGAAGGTTTATAATAATTATCATTGTTGTTATTTTCTTATTTATTTAAACTATATAACCTTTTCCCTATCAAAATTATTTTAGCCTTGCTGGAATGGTGAGTTTTCCAAGAAAGTCGACTGTTCATTATTAATTAATTAATTATTAATTAAACATCAATGATGATAATGATAATAATAGGCACAAGTATCTATTGGCCAGCCTTTGGATACAATAAAGGTAACAAAATAGTAAAATCATGTTTCTAAAATAGCCTACTACTCATTCGTCGTCATTTTGTGAGTTGATTCATCCAATCATTTCCCACCTCTAAAATGATTTTACGAAAAGGTTCGGCTTCAATTAGAATCTACAAGATTTAAAGGACCAATGGATTGTTTGGTTCAAACGATTAAAAATGAAGGATTTTTTGCGCTTTACAAAGGTTCGTCGCCCATGTGTGTCTATTATTGTTACACAGCATAATCATTATTAGCCACATGCTACAAATAAAAATATTATTTTAGGAATGGCTAGTCCATTAGTTGGAATAGGCTCCGTGAACGCGGTACTATTCGCGACTTACTCGCGTCTAAAAGAGTTACAAGCGACAACCGCTAATCAACAATTGACAATTCCCCAGATAGCTATTGCTGGTTCTGGTGCTGGTAAATTATTTTTATTCTATATTGGGAATGGGGTGTGGGGAATGTTGTAAGCTAGAACGGCCGGCTTCCAGTACAGCGACTTTTGTTTTTTACTTTAAAATTTAAAATCTTTGTTCAATTAATCATCACAATCCAATATATCGTATATAGGAGCTGTGAATAGTGTTCTCGCGTCACCAGTAGAATTGTTAAAGATTCGAATGCAAGCACAATATGGTAAGCCGTCATTACTAACATCCACCGCTGGCAGCAACATCGTGGTATACAAAGGACCAATTGATTGTGCTAAACAATTGATCAAAGAATACGGGATAAGAAATGGGTTGTTTCGTGGTTTTTGGGCAACGGTTGCCAGAGAAATACCTGGGTACGCCGGGTTCTATGCTGGCTTTGAATTCACGAAAAGAAAGTTGGCACCGGTAGGTACTAGTCCGGACGATTTGTCACCTGGTAGATTGATGTTGTCTGGCTCAATTGGTGGTGTTAGTTATTGGTTGTGTAGTTATCCACTTGATGTTGTTAAATCAAAGGTAAGTCACGAGGAAGGAATTGAAAAGTATTTTGAATTGGTGATGGTTATATGTGTATTACTATTAATATTATGTTAAAAATAAAAAAAGGTACAAAATCAAAAAGCTCCACCTAAAGGAGGTATATTTTATATATTTACTATTACGAAATCAATATACAAAACTGAAGGTCTCA